CTACAAAATGTGATTGTTGACACAAAAAATAATGCATTTTTAAATCTTCAAACAACACTCTCCTCCCAGAATCTAAAACACATTATACAAAAATAATGAAAACAATTCTTCGTTATATTTTTAAAGACATAACTCCTCAGTCCCTACATAGACCTACCAAACTGATACCTTTTAATTTTTGACTTTATTTTAACTAGGTTTTTATTTAGAATCCTGTTAATTCAGGTCTTTTCGTCTTGCTAAGACTTTCACTAGTTTAAGATTAAAAATATTAATGTCATTAAATGAAGCATTCGAAAAATACATTGGTCGGTTCAGAGAGTAGCCTCTTTTGTGTCTTCAAATTAAATTGCCTTACATCATAGTTACAGAAATTATTATATTATTATGTTGTTTAGTTAAAAAAAAATAATAAATAATACATAATATTTTATATAGGTATGTGGTTCTTATGAGATTATGTATTTTTTTATCCAACAGAACAACTACAGCACAACGGAAGTTTGTTCACGTTGTTCTTGCATAGCCCTTTGACTGCATTCTGTCTCATATGCAACATCTTAACGGTTAAAATGCATTTATGGGAGAGGGCCAATTCGTACGTAGATAGGTTTATCACGGAAGCTAGCCGTCTGTTTACTAGCAAAGTGAAACCAGGTAAATAAAACGAATAGTAAAGTACAAATTTCCGATAAAAAATTGTTTCGTATAATTGTTTAATGCATAAACGTTGTTTATTGTTATTGTTCTAGACGTGTCTTACATACAGTTCTTCGGTGACGACTTTTTACGGTTATTATTATTGCGGTACGTTTTTTGCCACGTTGTACTTCGTCATCATAGAGCATTCGTTGTGAGTTAACTATCATATTATTATAATTATTATTATTTTTATTTATAATCATTCGTCATAATATAGTATGGTATACGATTTTGAGTTAACTCGTGTAACGTATTATAATTTTCCGTTAACTTATAGCAATTAACACATACCCATAGATGTGCCTACAATTATAATGTATTTTCTATAATGTTAAAAATTATAAAAAGATGACAGTATAAAGTTAAGACACATACCACACACGATATTTATGCATACAACAACTCTTACATTAAGTATGTTTTAATTTAGACATTGGCATAAAAAGTATCTACAAATTATACGCATTGTGGAAACGGTTTGCGATAGTGAGATGTGCTATTTTTGAATGTACCAAACACATAAATATGTATTAACTTTTGCAAACAGCTTAAGAATATGCGAAATCCCACGAATTTCTGAAAATGTGTAAATCGTTTTTAAATTGTATTGGATTGTTTATAAAACAAATATTTAATTTCCTTAAAATCTTATTTTATCTTAAGAATTTAGTATTTTATGTTTTTTTTTAGTTTTATTATTCCAAGATAATACAATAATAATACACTTTAAAGTACTATAATTATCAAAAACGCATAGGTAGTTACGTAATGTACCTACTATGTAAATTCGCAAAATTATTTTTTTATTCAAATTATCCATACATAATAGTATAAAGTATAATGAATATATCTTCGCCAAGACGATATTTGTTTTTATTCTTGTTTGAATGGAAATGTTATTCTTTAAAGTGGTATTCTGTGTCCATTGACTATCTACCGCTGGTTCAGCAACAACATCTAAAAATAATTTATCTTCGGATGTAAAAGTCTAATAAATATTGAAACAAGCATTCACAAAAAAACAAAATAAATATGCAGTTATAATAGTGTGTGTATATTATGCAAAAATATGCTTCATAGACCATGCATTTTGCAGAAAGCACATTGCACAATTAGTTATAAATAATAATAATAATGTAAAACGAATTTCGACAGTAGGAACTTCTTCTACGTCTTAACATAAGGAAGACATCACTCAAACGCAGTTAAATAGCTTTTTTTTTAAATCCACAGCCGTGGAAGTTGAACGCGTATATTAAGTGTACTGTTATTTCTAATATCTCTATAACATACATACAAGTAAATATTATAGTTGTAAGTTATTACAAAAAAATAAATAATTATTAAAACTATTTATAACATCCAAATAAAAAAAAAATTGTAATTTATCTAAACTACCAAACATCTGTATAAAATATAAAATACAGGGTATCTACACTTATAGGTAACTTACATCAAAAATAGTATAACGTGTCCGTTTGAGACGAGGGATAATATTTTGAGTTGTTATTTTACACATTTACTTACATTTTTTTTTACATTTATTACCTACATTGTATATATATAGATTGTAACAGTCTTACTAATTAATCACTCTTATCTGTTTTAGGGAGAACAGTATCTTCCGCGGTGTCAACCGCCATTGCCTTTGGCCAGCTTTTTAGACGAGATAACTCTGAAGAAATACGTCAGAGAGTTGGCCAAACACTTGGACGTTTTGTCACATTTCGAGAACTTCGAATGATCCCCACGACCCACTATTATTATTATATTGCTCGGCGGTCGTCAACTTCTTCCAGTATAAAAATAATAATAATTATTATTATTGTTGTTATTTGATTATAATATATAGTATGTAGTATACCATATATAATATTATGTTTCTATAAATATTGTACAAAGTCGTGAAATCCGTGTGTGACCTATAATACCTGCATATTGTGTGAAAATTGTTCGGATATATGATGTAAGTCAACGATATTTAAATATGTTTAAATCTTAATTTTGACCAAACGTACGTAAAATGTGGTGATTCAATATTCGTCTAGTTTATAGATGTTTATCCCACAGATATTAATTGTTTTGTTTTCAATAACCGGAGTTCGATATTTGTTCTACACACCTATATATTATATACGTTCAGTTAAATAGTAGTATCTAGATTAAATATAATATACATATGTATATGTATATATATTTATACAATATATGGTTATATATACATATATATATATATATATACAAGTATATTATATCAAAAAATAAAATACTAATTAAATATATATGATATTATATAATATATATAGGATGATTCACCAAGGATGTCCCACCAATTTTTTCTTTAGTTATAAAGTTATTTAAAATCTAATATTTGGAATTTTTGAACACTTGATATTTTTTTGTACCATTTAAGGAGTGTCGTTTGGTGATAACAACTTTGGTTTTTCAAATTAGAACCTTGATTTTCAAAAATCTTACCTTTATTTACTTTAAATTATTTAGCAAATAATTTTTTGAGATTTTTCATGTATCAAAATAAAAATTCACACGAGTAGTTTACGGGTTATTAAACATTATTTAGGTACTAAGGATAGTAAGTATTGGAAAATATGAAAACTATGATGATTTTAAAATTGAAGTAATTAATATTAATCCATCAACATTTTAAATTAAAAAAAAATTGTATTTAGTATAATTAATACTAGTTTTAATATGAAATCTATTTTGTATTTTTTTAGATTCATTTGTAACTTTGTAAGGACTATTTTATCCTTAGAATGTCCATTTATAACTAAGAAACTACTCATTTGAATTTAGATACTGCAGACAAAAAAATTATCAAACAAATTATCTTTTTAATAATTTAATGTAAGTAATGGGATTCTCATTTGAAAGAAACAGAAGTTATACATTTCTACAGGACACTTATTATCTATGTAAAAATCCAAAGTAGGTATTCAAAAATATGGTCTTTTAAAAAAATCAAATTTTGAATAACTGTATATTAGGGTATTATTTAAAAAAAGTGGGGGTGGGCATGGTTGGTGAATCATGCTGTATGTTGTATTATGTTACATAAATAATATATGATTATTATTTTCTTTGTTTAGGCCCTAATGGCTTATTTATCTGTTCATATAATCTGTTAAGAACTATTTAACTCCATCGTAATATATTTGAAACTTAATAATGTGTTATGGTTTAATCAAAAAACGTTCGATCGAAAGTACAATAAACGTATATTAAGCTCTAAGGAAGCCTAAAATGTTTATATACATGAATAAAAGTACCAAACTACAATGTTACATTATTATATAAGTTATGTGTACCAATTAAATTTGAAAAAACCTGTAACACTTTCTTTTTTTTAAATTCTAATTTCTAATAATAAATAGTTTAATTTTTTTCTAAATTAATAAATCAATTTCCAAATCTTCCATTTTGTACTACGAAAAATCTCTTAAAATTGCATTATATACAAATTGTTAGCGAAATAAAGTACAGTATTTTTTATAAAATTCATTAATCTATTTATATTATAAAACTACTTGGTTTAAAAAAAAAAACATTGCTGCTTAATAAAAACCAAGTGCCCTAAATTAGTTTTACTATATAAGTGTTTTATCGTCATTATTATTATAAATTATTATTGTTTCTGTATACTGTTTCTTGTAATCCCTATATTTTGTTGTACTTCTTGGGGACGAGTACCTTCGATGTATGCGTACTGTACCTGTATCGTGCAAGTATACCTACTACTGATGTAGGTACATGCGTGAGTAATAAGTATGTACTACTCGCATATACATAATAATATATATTATATATATATATATATATAATTGAATGTTTTAAGCGCTATATGCAATTGTTTATTATATAAACCCAATAAATTGGCCGAAACTGTTTACTTTTATATATTATATTTTTTAGAAAAATGCAATGCGTTTGTCGTCCGTTCTGTTTAACGAAGTCAACGTAGTCTTAAAATTTTTTTAGATACAACTACTCCATCGTTTCATTCAATATTCAAATACTACCTATTATTATTATTATTATTATTATTATTATTATTGTGTTGTTATCTTAAAGGCAGGGAGAGGGATAGACATCGATACAAAGGAAACGCTTCGATTTTCGTTTTCGATCGTTACATAACGACGACGGGCGAAAAAAAAGTGAAAGATATGGGCCACTTCGCGATATGACAAATCCAAAGGGTCGAGTTTATTTTTAATTGTCGAAATTGGACTTGGCCCAAACATGTCTGAGCGCCGGGACCACGTCGTAAACGAGCTGCATGCACGCACACAAACGGTTTTCCGTCTCCGGTGCGCGAGAACCGACTCGTGTGCGCGTCACCTTAATCGTCAAAGCCAAACGACAAGGTCTGTAAAAATACAATAAAAATAAAAACGAAGCTCGTTTGAAACGAATAAAGCGAAAAAATCTGTGCACGAATGATACTTGTTCCTGGACCCGTCAACGCGTAAGTCTCGTCGCGTGCCGAGTGCGACGATGGAAGAACCAGGTCGGTACCTATATATTATGATAATAAATGCATAATGATGACTATACAGTGTATCCCAAAAGTATCTCCGTAAATCACTGGCAAATCAATAGGTTAGGCCTCATCTAAAATATAAGAGTTATTGTACAACAGTATGATAGGTGCCGATGAACTAGGAGAAATGTATATACAAATCAATATTGTAATTTTCTTATAGATTTCTATTGAAAAAAAACAGCATTTAAATAATATTATATTGATGCGTCTCGGTCTGACAGAGATGCTCAGGTTGATACCGGATTTTTGGGAGACATTGTAAACTCGCCTATATCTGTGTTTATTTAATTTAATTTAATATGCATATGAATACTGTAGGGCGCCACTGAAACGACTCGTGTGGGGGCCTAGGAGTTCTAAATCAAATTATATAAATAGTAGGCATACAGAACATGATTAAATATTAAATTATCTTACACTAACGTTTGTTACTATTTTATTAATTCGACAGGAGACTCTTATAACAGTTATAACTTATAACTATTAGGCAATTTATTTTTTGAAAGAATTAATTGAAAGATTTAATATATTAAATAGTATTTCATTATTTTCATTACATACGTACCATAGTTTGGTGCCGATTATTTCAAAATGTCTACCAAAAGTGGCTTTTATTAGACTATTTTATGGGGAAATTGTTTTTTGAGTATCTACTGTGTTAATTTCAAATGATATTAGTTGTAATAAATTGAGGGTTTTAAAATATATATAACGATTATTTTTAGATAAATTGTCTTTTATACATTATAATACAATGTTGTGACTTAAATGCAAATGAAAATGTTTTGGTTTTTATTGTATTCAATAACTTTATCAATTTTGTAGAATAGCCGCAGAACAAAAATGCTTTAAATGATTTAAGATTTAACCCAGTGCCCCGAGGGAGAGAAAGAAAATGGATGAGTTGCCTCTGGCGGCAAATGTGTTGACAATTAGGTGTTAACAATTTTAACAATTGTTTTTTCGCAGTTTTTACTTAATTAAAAAACTTTACAAAATTATTAATAAACAAGAATTCTGAAAATAAAATAAAATTAAAATTAAACTTTTTGTTATATTATAGATAATATTCTCCAAAATTTAGTTTTTAAATCCAATGCCTATAAGGCCATAAATAAATACACTTTTAACTGTGTGGTTATTATTATACTTAAGACTCAACCCGGCCGGTTTTTGAAACTTTATAAAATTTGAAAGTTAAATTTTATATTTTAGTTACTACCTTAATTATAATACTTTTCACTAAACTACTGCCCGATCGCGATCCCTACTTAGGACGGAGGGGATTGATACGGTGTATTATATCAATGAAAATGACTTCACAGAAAAACTCTCACGCCATGTAGAATAGTCGGATTTCTTTTTTTATTTTATAATTTGAGATAAAAGAACTTTTTCCCGGCCTAAATTTTGATTTTACTTTAAATAATGCTAGAAAAATACGTTTGGAAAAGAACAATTATTGTACATTATTCAAAGGCATATATTATAGTTATAATTTTGAAAATCAGGCTTGAAGGCCAAAGTCCATGTGACCTGTAAAATATTTTCTTCTTTTAAATTAAAAAAAAAAATTACAAAATCCAGCTATTCTACAGGGCATGGGAGTTTTTCCAGTGAAACATAAATGTATGCTAAAAAACGCACCGGCTTCGACGCCCTTAATGTTTTGGGATTATAGTGGTAATATGGGATGGCATCATATTATGAGATGTATAATATGCCTACCAATTACCATTGGCTGTCAGATTTGTTGACCCAAAATACGCTGTTTTAAATTTTAATCGCATTCAATTGTTTTTTGATGTCGGACAAATCCAGTCATCATAAACAAACGTGTTTTGCTACATTATACTTGAGTAATATTTTTATATTAGATTCGTGTAAATCAGTGTCCTACGGCAAGGATGGGCCGTATTATTCGACTCTGAACCGACCCGGCAGGTCTCCGTCGACCAGGTCCACCCCTTGCATGTCTACTTCGCGCAGATCTACCCCGGGCCGGTCTACATCGGGCAGGTCTACTTCGGTGTGCAGTAGATCTACCACGGACAGGTCGACGACTCCCGAAGCGCCGCCAGTTCCGCCGGCCACCTATCACTGGGAGGAAGTGAGAAGAAAACGGTCGGTGGGTGGGTACCCGTGGACGCATCTCAACAAACCGCCGTTCGACGAAAACACCTGGGTGAAGTACGAAAGGCAAGTACACCGTGTGCAGGCGTCAATCACGCCGACGACGACCCGTTAAAGTACGTTTGCAGTACTTACGTTTACTTTGGTTTTAATGGAAAACAAATCAAATAAAACCTATATACCAGCTATACCGCAGCTGTATAATTTATATATTGCACTCCATACGAGATGTCGAAATGCGTGCCAAACCGTTCGTCGCTATCTCCTGTTGTCGTAGGCGTTTCGTTCGAAAAACAATGCCAAATCGAAAATAAAATTTGATTTCCGATGAAATTGAAAAAAACTGTTTAACATTTTAAATTGCGAGTTTGTTATGTGTCCCTACCTACATGCAGCTGCGGTGAAGCCTACAACTTATCAAGTATTTGGTTCTGCAGGTCGAGTATATATTGTGTTGAAAACAAAATGTCTCAACCTTGATAACAATAATAATGACACATCAATACAATTCCTTTAAAGTGTTTATGACGTCAGATAAACATAATATTACCTATATACCTTACGGCTATACCTAATAATAATTATACAATAATAATTTCCATAAACATTTCACACGATCTTCAGTTCTATAACGCATGTCGCACGTGGTACGCGTTAATACGTTTATACTATATATATATTGTTTACTATATGACAGAGCGAATTTATATTATATTTTCTATACCTACTTACAATTTATTATTGAACACTATTTTATATTCAAGTCGCAATAGTTTTTAGGCTATTATTCTCGTTTCCTGTCTTACTATAGACTACCTACTCGTGTGTCCTATATAGTTGTATATAGATGACGTCTTCGCCGGATGTTTATGACAATAATGCATGATCTAATAACGATATTATATGTACTAAAGACATTTTTTTCAAACATATTCGTCTATATCGAATAAACTTATCGATTGCATGTACAACATTATACTATATGTATGTATAACGTGGATAAATTATTTCGATAGAGATGATTTCGATCTCGATATTTTAATCAATTTAAGACTGAGTCCATTGACACTCGTGTGGCTATTATATATTAATAAATACCTGCAGCAGACTGCCGCGGTACATATGTGTACCATTTGGCTGTGTAAAATGACAAAAATCTCAACTATATTGGCCCAGAGATGATATTAGTTGGAACTTGGTAGTGAGAAAAAAAAACGAATACTCTTCTCGTCTGAATATTCGGGTTATGCCGGACGGCCAAAACACATTTGGCAACCGTTGCGGCAATTTCGATTTTTCTATTCGTAAAATCGAGCTCGATTGTGTAGCGCATGACGGCGATGTCGAAACCGGGGAATGTAGTAGTCTTACGACGATTCAGTGTAGTCCGGAAGTCATTTGCGGCCGCTGGTCTTCCGACACCATTGAACACCGGATAATATTTCCTCCAAAGATGCCAGTTACAATGTTGAGTTCGTAATTAACTTGAGAATTAGTACTGCATGACTTAATATAGGACAAGTCCAGGAATGGGGTGAGTATACAACGCCATTAAATTGATCAGATACATCTAACGAACCAAAAATAGAGAAATATTTAAAGTACTTATAAATGATTAAGAAATTACTAAATTAATAAATATTTGGTTAAAAATTGTGTTGTTGTTATATTTAGGTGTTGGTATTTTAATATGTAATATTTTATAAGACATCTAATTAATAAGCATAATTTTACAGCTATAAGTCTAGCATTTTTAGTAGGTACACATTTTTTTTTTATAGCTATTCTATATTTATACAACATTCGTTACGAACACATTATAAACTTTGAGTACTACAATATATCAATAAAACAATGCATTTTAATTATTTAACATGTGGGTATATAATTTACGTTTTTACGTTGAACGTCATGTTATCTCGCATCAGTACGTCAATTTTAAATATTTTATCGTCCGTTAAATGAATAAATTAAAAAAAAATGATACTGTATAGTATACACTATATAGGTACACGACGAATCCTAACCACTCTACGTCTCTAAGTCTACTTTTAGCTCCGGACCAACAGACACCTATAAATAAGTTTTCGCTCTCTCACGAGAAGATTCTTGGCATGTCGAATCCTCTGTCTCTGTTATTGTCGCCAAATAATAAATAAATTTAACCCTTCTGTCGTTACGCCGGTTTTTTTCCGGCGCCGTTCGCACGTGAATCAGCCATTATTTTTGAAACAAATATTCAAAATATGTTTGATGCGATAATATTTTGGCGATTTCTTGATAACGTTAATTTTTTTTAGGGATCATGTATACGAACCTGTGACACCAGCCGCTGGCGCTGACCGGAAATCTCCTCCCGTCGTGAATCCGATAAAAGACGATAACCGTCATTTTCTACGCATACCATTGACGGAAGAACTCGTAATGGCCGACGATACAGGTTCGGAACCAGAAAGCGAACAACAGCATCATCGACGACGACGACCTAACGGAGAGGAAGAAGACGACGAGGAAGACGACGAAGACGACGACAACGATGACGATGACGAAGACAACGACGAAGAAGATAATGATGAAGACGGAAATGATGATAGAAAAAATGTAAGATCGGACGAATCGATTTATGAGGGTGAAAACGAAAACTCGTCTTTGGGTGATGTAGAGTCCGGTAACACGCGTATGAAGGTGTTCCAGCAAAAAGTCAAAGTCAAAGCGGACATATTGCGCACCAAATTGCAAGGGGTGACTAAACGGAAGCCCAAGCAAAAAATAGTCGTGGACACGCCCAACGGTGAAAAGTCTCGCCGCAAGTTTGGCCAGTTCGCCACTCTGCCGAAAAAGTTCACATTCAATGCACCCAAAGTGAACTTCTCAACGGCTTTTGGGCACTTCTCCCGGAGATCCATGGACCCAAATGAATCTAGCACAGATGAGACGAAGAGTGTTCGGGATGAGACGAAGAATGGTCGGGATGAGACGAAGAATGGTCGGGAAGAGACGAAGAGTGGTCGATTCTCGTTGCCGCGTTTTGGACTATCCAGGACATCGTCGGAATCTCCGAAACCATCAAAATCCTTAAAAATCGGTGGTTCTCGGCTGTCTATACCAGGTTTCCGGCCGCGCACTTGGTCAGACGCGTCCAAGGTGTCGAAACCCGACAGCCCGAAACCGGACATCTCGAAACCTCGAATAATGGATTTCGGTACTTACCCGAGAATATTTTCGAAACGCAGGAAAACCAACGTGATGAACAAAGCAAAAACTCCACCACTGTCGTCCGATGGAGGAGAGCCAGAATCAAACAACTACAAGCGAAAGGACTCTTTCCATCGGCGTTTCTTTCGGTCACACAAAGAGTCAACGCCGGCTCCGACGGAAGAACAGACCGCCACGCTGGCTGTAGAAGAAGAGCTGGACGAGCCACCGCTGCAGGTATCTAAGGAATCGTTGGCTGAATTCGGTGACAGCGATCTACAGGAAGTGATATCGCTAAGCGACGACTGCAGTCGACCAAAGGACACGAAGAGCTTGTCCGAGCACCGACCGGGAGTAATCGAGGAGATTGATTCCGATGAGTTTTTCCTCCGTGAAAAAGGTCTAAGTCGTGGTGACGTGCATATCAGCAATTACCTGTCGTCGGAGATCAGAGACGTGTTCAGGTCGAACCGGACACGGTCCGTGGAAGGTGTTAATGACAACAACAACGGCGGGAATGCTAGAAACAACCGCGACTCCAGTAGCGGTATCGCCACGCCCGTTAGACCGTCGCGGACCAATTCGTTGAGGAGACCTAACCGGCAAACTACAGCAGACGTGAACTCTGAGCGATCTTATGTCGCGGATCGGTTCAGCACGATGCCAAAATCGTTCGGTGGCACCAGGTCGTTGAAGAAACCGGAAGACGATACTCCTGAGAACATAATCACCAGTCAGACGTTTGAACCGTCTCAAAATCCCGTGCTGCCGTCGGGAGTGCCCTGGAGGACTTCCGGTAGGCAAACGGTCGCTGCCACGGTCACATGCATGCCGCCAAAACCACCGACCAGACAACGCATGTCCAAGTTTTCCACGTTTGACACGCGGTCGATGATTGATTTGTCCAGAAAGAGAAGCCAGTCACAAATCGTAAGTATTCATTATATATGGTACATACATACCGTTTACTACTTTTTAAAATAGGCAACTTTTAAATTTGTATACACTAGGCACACCCACGTTTTATCGATATAGCACGGCAGTCTAAACTTTTTTTATTTATACTTTATTTTAAGAGCTGTTGTCTTAAACGAATGAGCTTGACTGATATTTAACAGAATACACTGTTTACGTTATAAATAATCGTTTATTGTGGTAAAATATAGAAAACCAAAATACCAATAACTAATATCCGAAAGCAAAATTAAACAAATAAATAAATAAATATCAAACAAATATTTAGTAGATCACCAAAAAGCTGTTAACAATTGTTATTTATTAGGATAACCCATATATATATTATATACTGGCTATACGATTAATTTGATTTATTAACTTTCTACCGACTACTTCGTGAATATATGTTGTGTTTATTATAATTTATAAGCAAATTGCAAATACTCTAATGAAAGATGCGTTACCGCTAAGTAGTATATGTTCTATGTATATGCCTATATTTTTGTGATTTTTGAGAAGCGCGTTTTGATTTACATACTTTTAAAAAAATTGCAAAAATATAGCTCAGTAAGCTATGCATGTTTTGTGTAATGCAAAAAAGTTAAAAGTAAAGTTGTTTTATTTTCTTGTTGACATATTTATAATTTTAGATTCCAAACAGAGCAATAGAAATAGGTACATTGGTTTTTCAATGCGTTTTATTTTACTGCTGTAGTTAGTAAACGCTAATTTTATATAAGGATATTTGCTCCAATCATCAACATCGAGGGTGGTTACTGGTAGCATTTTTTGGCCTTTAGCTATTAAATGAGAAATTTAAAAAAAAAGTTAAAAAGTATATAAAATAATATAACTATTTTTAGAAAATTCAGTTTTCTACTTTGGACCCCTAAACAATTTGTACTATTCGCACCTTTGAAACACGATTTAATAATTCAATTTTAATTTAACATTTTTTTTTTTCGTCACAGGGATTCCAGCCGTCAATGAACTTTTCAGAAACCGTGCCAAAAGCGCCGATGCGTCGGTCCAGAACTTCGTTAGCCGGTTCCGATCACGATATTTCGGTGGCGATGGCCGATTGTGGGAGCCGGCCTTCGTGGGCTGTCAACAACGGCGGCGCAGGAGTGCCGACACCACCGTTGCGCCGATCGCGGATGTCGCTGTCGGTGGACGCAGACGTCGAAGAGCGGTCGGCAACGGCCGCTTACGCGGTAAACGGCAGTGCGTCCGCGAGGTCCGCCGGCTCCACGCCTCCCCGGCCACCCCCACCGCGGTCGACAACAACTACGTCTTCCACGGTCGCGGGCTACGCGACGGTGGACAAGTCGTCTCAATCCTCCGCGACACTACTGTTACCGCCACAGTCACCGATGCGGCACAGACGGAAAAAATCATATGACGTAATCAAAAGCCAAGAGTTTGGAGCGTTCTTCACCATACCGAGGTCGTACAGCTACTGCGACAGGAATGCACGACCGTCCACCACTGCAGCAGACACCTCCAACGCCGCTAAACTGCCACCGCCATCGAGACCCGCGCGAGCCTACAACACTCTGGGGCCATCTCGACCGCTCCGGCGCCGGTTACCGGTCAGCGAACACGAGTATGGCGACGTGGCCGATGACGGCAGTGGCCACCACCACAATGGCGGTGGCGACGACGACGACAGAAATGACGGGACGGCTAAAGCGGCGGCAGCGTTGTGCTCGGGCGACGTGATCGAAAAGATGAAACTTCGGCCGTTGCCGTCACCGCCGCCACCGCCGCGCAAGTCGAGGGCGGCCGACGACACTGCTACGCCCGAACCCCAACGGCGCAGGAACACCGATTCGGCCCTGGTTCCTTTTTTAGATCGGCGAGAAACGTCTGCAACATCGTCTAGCGATTTTTTTGCCGACGTTTCTCGTGCGCTTCTCGCGTCTGCGGCCAAAAACGCTGTTGCTAACTGAGCTGACGACGTGTCCGTAGCCGTTCAGACCGACCCGTCACCAGCAGCTGATGATTACGCGTCGGACGATCATCGCGATGACGGATCCTGCTGTTCAGCCGATTCGTATGACCGGTCGTCGAAGTTTACTACTGCAGCAGTAGGAGGAGCAACATCTCGACATCTCGCTCCGAAAACCCTGACCGTCGCCGCCACTGACCGACCCAGGACCCGGTCATCGTCTCAGGCCACCGAGTACGTTGACCGGCCGACCTCCGGCATGTCGGTAACCGCAGCAGACGACTGCAGCTGTAACGGTTACGCGATGGTGTCTGACGCAGCCGCTACAGGCGGTGTCGCTGCAGTGCGAGCGCAACGCATAACAGTCGAGGAGCTGCAAGTAGGGAGGATGATCGTGGCCGACATACTCGGGCAGCGAATGGCCGTCGATGACATGTCCGGATCGAGTCTGAAGATCGCTCAGTTTGCCGCTGCGGCTCAGCATCCATCTCTGCAGCAGGACGCCACCGCCGCCGTCCAAGCCGCACCTTCAGGTGCAGACGACCCGATAACGCACGTGCCGCTGTTGCAGGACGACAACGCGTCGGTTCAGTCTTCGCGCGTGTCGTCCATGTACCCGGAAGTGGATTCGGACGAGGACCGGGCCAGTGTGTTGGCCGCGCCCACGCCACCGCGCCGACGCAGCAAACCTCCGTCCTCGCCTCGTTCACCCGTCACCACCGACCACCACCACGACCAGGGAAAAAACGGCAGGCCACCGGGAACCGTTGGCGCCGTTGACCTGTCCACCGCCGACCCGTCCATCACCGAGCTCAGCTGTCAGCTGTTCCGGTTGTGTCACTCGAACGTGTGCAGCCTGTTCACTAAAGTCGTCCAGCAAGTGGTCCCCGAGGATACGGAGAAGCGGCGCGACCTGCAAGCCGCCTTGTGTTTCCTGAGCATCATACTCGCCGGTCTACTGATCCTAGGCTTCGGCAACGAGAAGACCATACACCACCACCACTGGGACTTTCAATTTCCCCCCAATCAGTAGCCCCACGCATGTTGGGGGTTGTTGCGCTACTGTCGTTATTGTTATTGTTGCTAACCGATCGTTGTTTCTTTAAGTTTTGCATTTCGATATTTTAATATTCAATTATTGTATAGCACGATTGTTAAAAATATCTTTACTCTATAAACAACAGTCGTTTTAGTCATTGACCGGCTGGTAAAAGATAATTTTTAGGGCTTAAATTCAAAACACTTAACACTTACGGTTTTTGTTTATGTACCTACCTAACTTTTCCTAGCGGTTTCGTTTTACTCAATTCTTGTTCTAACCTATTTCTGCAACACATTGCAGTTGTTGTTTCATTAAAAAGGTTAACCGCTAACAGTAAATAATTACTGTTTTACTCCACAGTGGCAGTTAGAACACAAATATTATATAGGTAGGTTAGGTTATGTATTGACTAGGGGTACTTCAAACTTTGTACGAATATTAAAAAATGTTTATTAATTAATTAAAAATTTGAATGATATTCCGTTATTTTATGTTTAACGATGTAACACAGAGTGAATTCAAAATGCTCTCAATTACTCTTAATATTTAGATTAGAATAAACCTATTTATAAAGTTAGGTTTAACCGGTCCAAGAAGAAATTATGAAATAAACTATTAAGATTTATTCATAGCCAGTATTATTAAATGCAATTTATTTATATCCCTACATTAGCATATTATAATGTAAGAAATCACAAATTTTGGACAAAAATAAAACAAGATTGATCAGATCATAACAGTTCTATAACAGTATAACTACTACTAAGTCAGTAGTCACGTAACTATACCGGTTATGTACCAAATACCAACTCATAAAGATGAAATCATCAAATATTTAAAATTTAATTTATATAAGTAATTAGGCATTTCCGATACAAATATTATTTTATTTATTGAAGGTTTTGTTTCATTATGGATTTATAAGGAGATATATCCAAGACTATCATCATTATTTTTAATTTGTATGATTATCTACAGATATTAGTTAGATTAAAAATCTCCATTGCTACATAATTAACTAAAACCTCAAAGCAATATTTTTTATTATAAACTATGTGTTTGTGAACTAAAATAGTAGTTACAAAACTTATTTTCCAATGTCATAGTTATTGAGTTCTATGTTTTAGTTTACAACAAATTAATTCATAAAATAAACAGCAATACTTTTTTTAAATAAAATAGTTTATAAAAATTACATCAATATAATAAATTACATGAATATATTTTTTTAACACTCAGTCTATCATTAAAAAATCTTTATTATAAATAATTAAAATCTAAAATAAGTAAAAACAAGTTCTTAAAATAAATCATCATATGTTACCAGCGATCGATCGTCTCGTTGATTTCCTTTTTGTGATTTATTAGTAGCTGGAATTAAAAAATTATACACATAAGTTTTGACAATTAAAAGCTGTACATCTATATTATGTTGAACCATTTAATTTTTATTCTTTTTATTCAATCATATCTGATGTTCAAACATTTTTAAACCATATTAAAATTGTTGCAAGACAAAATAATATGTACACATAACTACATAATATATTTACATTAAAGGTTCCAAAATTGTAATCTTTTATGTATCAAATGTTGTAATATAATAATGTTATAGGTAGTGTGCTAGAAGAAGTGTTCAACAACTAATTCATAATTATATTATATATTTTATCATTCAGATATTTTTATGAATTTAATAAAAGTAAAAAAAAAATCTAAACTGTGATATTTTTTAAAATCAAAAACTTGGTAATTAATTATACAGAGTAATTCACAAAGCATACTCAGTGCTCATCCCAATTTTCCCTTTTATAATGAATTTATTAAAAATTTAGTTTGTAATTTGTAAGTATACCTATGGGCTATGGACTATATTTTCAAATATTTTTAGTTTTATACCATTTAAGGGATATCTTATACCAATGCTAAGTTCATTTTTTAAATCAAAACCAACTTTTTCTGATGTAATTGTGTTATACGTCCTGTATACAAAATAGCATAGCAAAGAGAGGAAGGTATGGTGGCACCTAGTAATAATAATTTGACCATTTGAAAATTGAACGCACAAGATATGAAACGAAGCTTGTCACTCATTGAAATATTATTAATAAATGTTTTTTACATGACCATAGATTTTACAAACGGTAAGGAAAAATGGCCAACCATGGCAAGCCACTCAAATAACAATTCAATTTCTGTAGTTTCATAATTTAACCAAGACAATAAATTATATGTAGTGTACTGAAGGAAAACAAATAAACATAGGTTTAGTCCAGGCACATCAGAAGCACGTGGTAAGTCGTAACACCACTCAAAAGTCTAAATGTAATTATATACTTTTAATAGATATGCTCTTTATTTATAATAGACAAAACTAGAAAATAATTGTATGCAGTAATGACAAATTTAAAACGTAGGCATATTTATCACATTTTGTCAATTTAAGGAAAAATGTACATAATACATAATGTATACATATTTGAGAAAAAAGAAGTTGGTATCATTAAAGGATTTATTCCTCCTGAATATTAATTTAAATAAATATAAATAAACTAATGGCCCTTGCTGCCGAGTAGTATTTTAGATGAACAAAAAAAAATATATATATAAAGATAGTTTACACATTAAATTCAATATTGAAATACAGTTTAATTAAAAAATCAATCTATACTGTAAAAATGTATTAAGTTCAAACTTATATGTATATTTTTCTCCAATTTTTACATTGCACAAATCATTATGTAAAACTACAAACTAAGAAAATAATTTTTTATATTATTAATAAACATTTTAAATTAATTATCACCAACTGTGCCTATATAGAAATACACTATATAATATAGACCTAATTAATATTAAGTATTCTAAATATTGAATAAAAATTTGAAATTATTAATAAACCGCTTACCAATGGCATTCCATGAATTAATTCCTTTATCGCCAAATTCAATAGGCTGATTTCGTGAGATTGAAACTTTTAATTTAATACCAGAGACTGTAGTGGCGTTCATCTATATAAACATTAAACATATGTATGGATAGTAATAGAACATTTGTATATAATACAAATTTAGAATATTTAGAATTAATTACTTGAGATACTGCTTTATCAGCAGTTTCTGGGGAGTTGAATGTGATGAACCCTCGACTAAAATAAAATTTGTTTTATGAATTCGATTTTTAAGTAAGTAAAATATTAAAAAACTCACTTTTTTTCTATTTCCATGGATATATTAATTATTGTACCAAATTTACTGAATGTGGACCTTAAAAATTCTTCAGTCATTGAACTACTTCCTCCAACAAATATAGTGATGTCCTTACGAGTAGGTTGTTCGGGAACTGGTTCTGGTGAGCTTGGAGCTGGTGGAGTGGTTTTAGAAGTGGAAGAAACAAAACTACTATACAAATTCTGAAAACATAAGCAATTTTAAATACATAACTCGTACATAACTAAAACTGCGGATTATTCCAAGGTGATATAATATTACACATACAGAGAATTTAGTGGTTGGAGTCGCTTTAGGAGTGCTATCTGGAATGACATCAGTTTTGATGACCGGTGAAGCTGCTGAAAAGGGTTGATAGCTACTTAAAGCCTGAGTAGTGATCAACAATTTGCGTTCCATTCCACAAGGTCTCTTAAAAGATTCCTGGTCTGTACGATTGGGTACTTTTTTTATCGGTCCTATAGCACCAGACTTCAATAGTTTTTTCGCTATTTCCCTTGCATCACGAGCTGTTTCTTTGGGCCTTTTGGGATTGAGTACAGGTGAAGGCTCAGGTTCAGGTCGAGGTGTTTTTTGCACTTGCAATGCTTTTTTCTGGATAAAGTGAGAATACAAGTTAAGCACGGAGAGCTATAATCCGACGTTTGAATATGAACAAAATTACCTTTTTTCTCAATTTTTGATACTTGTTTTGCAGCATGAGTTCTTCTTCAGTCAGATTCGTCGGAAAGTGTAAGTACACCATCTCGACGCACGATTATTCGGATGTTAATATGCGATTTACGATAAAACTGAAAGACTACCGTAGTCTTCTATTGCAGTATTGCACTAATAAGTAATGAGTGATCACTGATCACAGTTTGAATATTGCTTGAAAAATCAAAAAATGCATTAGCCGATATTTTTCCATCCGTTTGGCGTTTGCAGACGATAACGGAAAGTAAACAAATATGATACCATTATCAGCGTCTACGATGATGAACACGAGCCGATCCATAGAGTAATATTACTCTATGAGCCGATCACTGCAGCTAATTCCACTCCTCACGCGCATGCGCGCACCATAAACTACCATCAACATGCCTTTAAGGACCGTGAAACAAAAAAAAAATCATTTTTTTTATACCTTAGTCTAATATTAGAAATTAAAACTGAATTATACTTCTTTTCAAAAAATGATCCGATCACTCCTGTAGTCCTGTGTCAAATAACGATCGTACGTATACGCATGACGTCACTGGTGCGCACGGAGTTGTGCCGCCGTATTATTTTAGGCGGTAGATATTTACATGGTGTATTATAAACACGTAATTTCTAATTTATCTATACGACTGTCGACTATACTTATTATTAATTAGTAATTATTAATTGTATCGTTAATACTTAATTTCATAGGAAATCGTGTATGTATTCCAGCATGTGTTGTGATGTACAAGATATTCGAAATAAATACCCTGAAAATAATGAAATATTCAAATATATACGTAAGTTTTAAAGAAAAACAGCAAATAAAAAATTTGAATAAATTTGAACACCAAATTAATTGTAATAAATAAGTTTGAATAAGATTAAACTCAGTATTTATTTTATATTTTAGTATTTTTTTCGGCTGAAGAATGACAAATATGACAATTGATAATATCCCATAGACGATAGACCCTGGTTTGATGTTCATGTTATTCAAATAGAATTATCTAATATGATATAAATGACTTTTAATGTCAATAATAATAAATGATAACATTATATCGTCACAGAAATTAATTCAGTCTTATATTTTGTATGTTTGAATGAATGCACCATATAAACATATTGTACCGCGTAAAATATTACGGCGGCACCAATCCGTGCGCACCAGTGACTTCACGCGTATACGTAGGATCGCTATTTGACACAGAAGGAGTGATCGGATCATGTTTTTGAAATGACGAACAATTTAGTTTTCATTTCTAATATTATACTTAGGTATAAAAAAAATAATTTTTTTGTTCCATGGTCCTTTAAAATTGAAAATGCCAAAATCAATCATTCATCTCCTCCACAAACCATAGTGTCCACTGACAAACCATTTCTTACCATGGTTTAAATCATTAGTTTAGGAAAGATAATTTCAAATTTTGTTAAAATTGTATTAGTTTGTAACAATAAAATATTATATAATGAAATAAATGCAATTTTATGTATGTATACTTACAGAGTTACAGTCAAATTACCTAAAAATGGAATTGTCGCAAAAAAATGTACCCAATTATTCAAACAATAGGTATGTGGGCATAAGAATAATTGATTTAGTCACCTGTATCCAGGGGCGGAGTGGCTCAACAATTCTTACCGGGCAAATAGATATTTTCAGGCCACCTAAATTTATTTCAGGCCATTTTTTTCAAATTTAATTTCTTACCATTTATTGTCTTATTGCTAGATCCTAGATGTGTGCTTATCATTTTTTGATTGGGTGGTGAAGTATAAAACAATTTAATAATATTGGTGGTTCACATATCACATTATTAATTTGTTTTCGTTGTTTTTAGTCATCAAAAATAGCTAAATATTTTTAATATTAACTATTTTCATCACACCAGGACCAGGCCACTTCTTATATAAGCAAGCCAGGCCACCGGGCATTGTCCCGGTTGCCCGGCGGGCCACTCCGGGCCACAAAATACATTTACAATACAAATATGAATGTACATAAAATAAAATGTACAAATATTTACACTTATTTGTGTATTTAAAACCAAAGCATGTTATGCTACAATTCATTTTTATTTTTTAATTCTTAATAAGTAACATGATAATTCAATATTCAATTTGTTTTAAGTATTAATAATTTAACATTGAATCAACACAATGTTAAATAAACATAAGTGCCTTTTTCTTAACTTATTTTTATGTTATCGACATACCTATTAATATATTCACAGTCCCTTCTGCTATTACTAATTTGGTTTAATAATGTATATTTAGATGCTATGAAGCAAACAAGTGAAGCTGTGACCAGTAATATAGATTTAAAAACATTAAAATCTGTTAAGGTAATGGTTGAAAAATTAGACTACAGTGTGTATGTTGATAATTTGCTTAAAATGAAATAAAATATTGGGGGAAAACTTTATAAAATTGGCTCAATGGTTTTCATTCTGAAAGTACTTCCTCTAATGCGAATCCGCAATTGATCTAGTTACAAAAAATGGTTTGCATAAAAACATATTAAAGATAATCCTTCAAATTAACATTAATTAAAAATTAAAGATATATTGGTCCAGCAGATATAAACAAACCAGAGCTACAAATATTCACCTAACCAACTTACTATTGCTCTACATTCATTAAAATATAATTTGGATACTGAGGTAAATAATGTTAGTTAAAAAGATATTTTTCAATCATAAAATTGCTTATTTTTTCATCACCTTAAATAATCAAAATTTAAAATTTGTGATTTAAAAATTACTAAATGATTAAAACATAATAATGTTATCGTTTCTGAAAAAAAAGTATAATAAAATGAGTGTTCAGTCAATGAATTCTAAAATTATCACTCATGCACTGAATAAACCATCTAAATCACTTTGAATTAAAATTAAAAGTTTAATACATGTGACATGAATCTAATTTTTGAGTTCAGAAATTGTTTACCGATTATGCCATATATTAAAAAAAACCAAAAGTCTATTGGCATTTCTATTATACTAAAATTTAGATTAGATTATTCAGACTCAAAACAATGAAATGTTTGTGTTACACAATTGTCTGATATAAAATAAAATCAATTATTTAACCTGAAAAAAAATCAAGAATACCAGTAAATTATATTTTGTCGAGCAGTGTTGTGTTACTAAACTAGATCACATGATTAAGGAGCTTATTAGAAATCTAAGAATTAGAATTTAGTTAAGTTACAATTATTATTGGTTACAATTAAGTTTATAATAATATATATTTTCTTGCAAATATGTTACTTCAGATCCAAACAAAACTATTTAATGAATATTAATATACACAACCATAAGTCTTAACCTTTCATATACCATCAGCAATCAGCATAATATTTTCCGAGTAATTACATATCCCAATTCCCAAGTAGAATTTGGATTATATTTTTTAATCGAAGATTTTATTGAATTACTTTTTCATTAAATTGTATTTATTTGATATTCATTATGGTAGGACTTAATGTTAGAGCTAGAGTTAAATTTATAGCAAGACTTATGGTAGTAATAATAAACAATATTTGTTTTCAAAATAACTTTACAAATGTTCCCATTTTCTAGTATTTTAATTTTAAACTAGATTGTGCCTAGATTTATGCCTTTATAACAAGAATATTGAAGTTGAATTACATCATATATTATAGCATTTGCTACTTATTATAGGATAGAGATAAAAATAGCAGAGTGGGCTATACATTTGTTTAATGCACCAGGGATTCTAAATATGAAATTGTACTTTGCTATTTTTTGCATATTTGAAGAATCTTAGAATTTTAGTGCTATTTTTAAAGTTTTGGTGCTATGTTTTGCTAATATTCTTAATTCAACGCTTTATTTTATATTTTTCATAAATCTCGTTTATATTGAATAAAAAATAGTATACATTTACGCTAATCAATAAGAAAAATCCCCTTGTCGAATATATTTATACATTTATTCTTTCTTATCTGTTATTGTTCCACATAATTGTATAATATAAAACACCGTCGACAGTCATACGTATTTCAACGTCAGTCGGTTCTCCGTATCCTTTAATTTCGTTTCATATATGTTTATTACTCGATGTGTATTATTAGTTTTTCTGTTCCGATATTAAACGTAAAATGCCAAATGATAAAACATCGAACTATTCTAGACTAAGATATTTTGTGTCCGAGTTTGGCGATGAGGTTTTTTCGGTTGACGCAAGTATTCTGTTTTGCAAATTGTGTGAATGTAAGGTTAATAGTGACAAAAAGTTTAACTTTACTCAATACTTCAAAACGGATAAACATTTAAAAGCCATTAATCGAGAGCAAAATAAAATTGAAAAGAAACAGCAGTTACTTACAAATATTCCACAAAAATGTACTTTTAATATCGATCTATTGAAAACTTTTATTTCTGCAAATATATCACTAAACAAGTTATCCAATGCAAAGTTTCGACAATTTTTAGAAAAGTTTACCTACAAAAATGAAAAAATCATATTCCAAACGAATGAACACTGAGAAAATTGTACGTTGATGATATTTACAATGAAATTATGGAAAAAATTAGAACTCAAGTAGCTAATAACCGCATCTGAGTGACTGGGTGAGTATCGATGAAACAACGGTTAGATTTATTTATTTATTTATTTATTTATATTTTTTAAAATAGCTTTAGTAACAACTAATATAGCTCAACAATTATAATTTTTGATGTTTTTAGGGCATGTATAAAGAGCATATTTTACTGTTTTTTTGGTCATATTATAGCGCATATTTTAGAATTTTTGGTGCTATAAAATCCGAACCCTGGTTATGAGTAATAACCAAATTATTAGAGACCTTAATCTTTTGTTCCTCTTTATTAACTTTGTATACTTGTCATATACTTTTTACAGATTATAATAAATTGTATAGTTTTATCTATGAATTAATAAGTGCAAGTGTGCAACTCAGGAGTCAGAATTCTAAAATGGGAAGTTTAATATTTAAATATGACTTGAGGGGGTGGGGCACATCTAATATTTATTTTTGAACTATACACAGTCGTCATTTTAACAACAAAAACACCCTAAAAGTAGATTTCTTGCCTAGTCATATATAATAATCATGCTAAATACCATTTAAAATGTAAATAACCAGTGCTTTAACACATATATGCATTAAATAATAAATTATAATAAAACTTGACTGCAATAATAGAATAACTTTAAAGTTTATTTTCAAACCCCCCTCTCCCCCATTGAAAAATTCTGCTTACGCCACTGCATTCTGGTACGAGCCAGTGGCTTAGGTATATAGTGTATAGGATTTAATTTCGGGATGAACACTTGAACCCGTAACAATGGAGAGGTCAAATATTCTCCATCGGTACCAGCTATTGAACAAATCACTATTTTAATTCATTCTGATTTGTTTAAAATTATATTTTGTCGTCATTGTTGCTACAAATGTAGCTTTACTCTTACTTTTATATTTCGTATGAGTGTATGACCGATGTATTTAGGTACTATTTAGTATTTATCCATGACTAACCAAAACATTTAACTA